ACTCCCGCAACCCCCAGCCGCCCTCCATCTGCTTCCCTGCAGGAGGAAATTATGTTCCCAGAGCCGTGCTGGTGGACCTGGAGCCGGGCACCATGGACTCTGTCCGCTCTGGCCCCTTCGGCCAGATCTTCCGGCCCGACAACTTTGTTTTTGGTGAGTTCCAGGCACAGGAAGCCCCCTCGCTCCTTTGACTTCCAAATGCTTGGTGAAAAATCCCCCCACGTACCTTGGGAGACTCTGGTGGCCACGGGGTCCCACAGCCCCGCGGGGGAGGTGAACAGGGCAGTCAGGGTTGTGATGGAGGACACACAGGCCACCGTGAGAGCCCAGGACGGGCATCTGATAGGGAGGAGGGTGGAGAGAAGGCTTCCTGGAGGAGGTGGCATTTTAATTTAACAGCATGGACTGGAGCCAGACTGCCTGGGTGAAAATGCCAGTTCTGCCATTTCACGCATTCAACAAATAACTTACTGAGCACCTACGGCATACCGGGCCCTGCCGTCACCCCAGAAGAACAAAGCAGACAAGATTCTCTACCCTATTGGAGCTGACCTCCCAGGGGAGGGATGTGCAACAGAGAAGCTACATAAGTACAACTCAGCCACTGATTGAAAGTCAGCTGGGTGACTGTAGACAGGCTCCTTCAGCTCTCTGTGCCTCAGTCTCCACATCTTTAAAGCAGAGATTATAAAAAAGACCTACTCATCATCACAATCGTGAGGCTTAAAGCCGTGAATCTGCAGAGAGCACTCAGAACCGTATCTAACAGAGAGGAAAAAGCACATAAGCATTTGTACTTTTCATTATCACGATCACTGTTAATACCTGCAGCCTAAAATATGAGTAGGACCCAGACTGACCAAGAGGCATTGAAGGGAGGAAAGATGTGCAAGACCGAGGGAATAGCACATGTGAAGACAGCAGACACATTTGTGGCACTCAGGTTCCTGGGGCACACACGCTCCGTGAACATCCTTCAGTGACACTGTTCCTAGTGCCTCCCAGGTCAGGCTGGCTGCACACACCCACCCACCTGGCCTCAGACCCCGGGGCTCCACCCTCTCCCCCAGCACCCCGGGGAACCTCTCTTCCTCAGAGCAGGGTGGTTTATAGAGTCTGAAGTCTACGCGTTGACAGGACAGGCTGTGTGACCTTGGACAAACAACTTCCCCTCTCTGGTCTGTGTGATGATTCAGCAAGATAACGATGCTCCCGTGTGGGTATGGCATACAATACGTCCTCAGGATATGGCTGTGGAAGGACTAAACAATGTTGACCAAAGGGTGTGAGGGAGTCTAGGATAACTATGGGTGGCTCCATCGGGACCAATAGATGTGAAGGCTTCTGGGAGCCTGGGTGGGGAGGCAGTGGTAAAAGTGTGGAGTCAGGAGACCAACTACCTGGCAATCCCGTTTCTCTCTGAGGAGGTGACATGGCACAAAGACCTGAAAGAAAAGTCAGCCATGTGAGTACCTGGGGGTAAGGGCATCCCAGGCAGAATGAACAGCAGGCGCAAAGGTCCTGGGGCAGCACCAGGCCTGGTGTGCTGGAGGAACTGCAAGGAGCCCGATGCGGTTAGAGCAGAGTGGACGAGGGAGAGAGAGGGAGGAGGTGAGTGCAGGCACGAGACAGGGTAGGGGCAGGTTGTTCAGGGCTCTGTGGGCTGCAGGGAAGACCTGGGCTTGTACCCCCAGGGAAGTGGGAGCCCTGGAGGATTGTGGGTAGGGGAGGGTGGGACATGATTCAGGTGCTCACAGACGCCCTCTGGCTGCTGGCAGGAGAACAGACTGTTCTGTAGAGGGTGGGGAGGCGGGTGGGAACCAGTCCAGAATAGGGTTGATGAGGTCAGACCAGGGTGGAGTCAAAGGAGGGAATGAGAAGAAATGTTAACCTTTTCACAAAAATACCGGCCCATCCACTAATACTAATCCTTGCCCTCCTGGAGGTCACATTTCCCGGTGAGATTACAGACAATGAACATGAGTAACAAGAACACGTAAGTTTGTCAGTGCTTCAGGGGAAAAAAAAAAAAAAGGCAAGGAAGAGGAATAAGAAATGGCAGGAAAGCCTCAGTGAGAGTGACAAAGCCCTGAAGGAGGTGAGAGAGCCATGTGGGTATCTGCGGGAAGACCATTTCGGGCAGAGGGAATGCATGTGCAAAGGCCCTGGGGCAGGACTGGGCCTGGTGTGTTGGAGGAACAGCAAGGAGGACCCTCTGGTTGGAGAAGAGTGAGCCAGAAAAGAGAGAGGAGGTGAGAGCAGGGAGATCAGCTCGCAGGTCCTGCAGGGCCCTGTGGGCCGAGTGGGGGCGGAGAGGCTTGGGCTTTTATTCAAAGACCCAGCTGGTTTTTGAGCTTAAAGCAGGAGGCTTCTGGGCCAAAGCGGGACATGAATGGCTTCCGGCTTTCCCAGGATCCCCTCTGGCTGCTGGATGAGAAGCCAGCAAGGATAGAGGCAGACTGCAAGAACGACCCACAGTAACGCTAACACAATAATAATTTCATTGCTGTTATTCGACTCCTAGGATGGCCGGGGTGAGGGGGAGCTCTCCCCGTAACACCCCTGCGCGCTCTCCACCCCCACCCCCACCCCGTCCCGTCCCGTCCCCTTCCCTCTGCAGGCCAGTCGGGAGCCGGCAACAACTGGGCCAAGGGCCATTACACGGAGGGCGCCGAGCTGGTGGACGCCGTCCTGGACGTGGTGCGCAAGGAGGCCGAGAGTTGTGACTGCCTGCAGGGCTTCCAGCTGACCCACTCGCTGGGCGGGGGCACGGGGTCCGGGATGGGCACCCTCCTCATCAGCAAGATCCGCGAGGAGTTCCCCGACCGGATCATGAACACCTTCAGCGTGGTGCCGTCGCCCAAGGTGTCGGACACGGTGGTGGAGCCCTACAACGCCACGCTGTCGGTGCACCAGCTGGTGGAGAACACGGACGAGA